TGGAGTTATTGTCCAGAGCTGCACAGACCTCCTGAGGAAACCAAAGGTGGTCTGGGTGTTGGCCAAGGATCACCCCAGTGGGGGCAGTGTGGTCACCCACCTGCACTGTCATTAGAACCCAGAACGCCTGTGGCGGGCTTTCATTGGCTGAGGCATCCTATGCTCATCTTTTGTACTCCTGACTTCGAGGGTAGAAAGCAGATGACAGAGTGGGGAGTCACAGCGTGTGAGTAAGGTCTGTGTGCATGCTGAACAGGGGTACCCAGCAGGAAGAAGGGGGAGGAAACCAGCTCTTTGGAAGTATTTTGTGAGTGTCATGGTGAGCAGCTAGGATGATATAACAATGCTATCACTAGCTCGTGAAGTGGGCACTGTCATTACCTCGTTTTACCAGTGAGGAGCATGAAGTCCTGAGAGGTCAGGCATCCTGCCCTGGTCACAAATGAGTCAGTGTGGGGCCCAAGTCAGTGTGACCCCAGCCCATGCCTCTCATCGCTACATTCCACTGACTTGGAATTGACAGGATTGACCGGAAGGGTCCCAGAAGGCTGTGGGGTGGAAGAAAAGTGCTCGACGTGTGTGTCAGAAGACCCTTGCACTGCCTTGTTGACCAAGAGATTTAAAAACAAATTATTGTCATGATAAAAATGTGTTCATTGTTTACATTAGAAAAATGCAGATCAGCAGAGAGGAAATTAAAGAGCGGGCCACCTCACTCTGCAGCTCATTTGTGCATTCATTAGGGTCTTGTTCCCAGAGGGTGGGTGGTGGCGGCCAGGTCACTCAGTTCTCTGAAGTCCCAGCCTCCCCAATCTCCTCCCCTCCATTTGCTTAACCACAATTTCTCGAGCATCTCCAGAGTGCTTGAGAGTATTTCAGGTGCTGGCCGGCTCCTGCCTTCCTGGAGTTCTCACCGGGATGTGGCTGACAGATAGTACAGGGAAACTGAGAAGGGGATTACAGCAAGGTAGGCAGTGACTGGGGAGTCGTGGGACCCAGAGATGGGCCAGGTAGCGTGTGGGGAAATGTCTAGGGTGCATTTCAGCTGAGTTTTGGAGGATGAATAGGAGCTGGGCTGGAGACAAAGAAGGGTAGGAAAGTTATCCAGGCCCGAGGGAGCAGCATATGCAATGGCTCAGAGGCAGTGAGGGCTCAGTTCATTCAAAAAAGAGAGCATCACCCCTGTAATGGGAACACGGAGAGGGGGACAGGGGTGGGGTAACCATGCCCCAGCCCTTGCTTAGGAGCTGGGAGGATCAAATGAGGTGTTTGTGAAGCCAGGGTGCCATGCCCGTATGCTACTGCCACATAATAGGACAGTTGATGCTTGAACAAGGTGGGGGGTTCACCTTGGCCCTGCCTCCAGCAGTAGAAACACCCAGAAAGCCAACTACATGTTACACATGGGTATCACCAGGCACAGCACAAGCCCGTGAGGGACCCATGCCAGTCACCCCGGGGTGTGAATGCACCCACTGCTTCTCTCTCCTTTCTCAGAACTAAAGTGATCTGGGCCCTGGAACTCTGGGCACTCTGACACACTTTGCCCACCCTGCTTTCCTCATTGCTCTCCCACCTCTGTCTCAGCTCCCCAAAGGGGGAACAGTGAAAAAGCAAATTCTTAGGAAGGACCAACAGCACAGCCTGACTTTCCCGACTGGATGCTTTTAACTAAGTCTGCGGGCAGGAGAGACTTTTTATCCCTTGCAAGTTAATGCAAAGTGTTAGGGAGATAAATAAATGACAGAGCTGCCGATGGACTGTTGGCTCAAAGGAGGGAAATTTGTCTCACTTTAGAAGAAGGACCTGGAGGGCTCAGCCCCATCGACTCGTTCATTGTGCTGTTATCTGCCAGAGAGGTGGTGACACCACAGCAATTAAGACAAACTTTAGTCTATAAGTTCGTGCCTGCAATCTCGTGGCTTCAAAACAAGACAAATGATACCGCCAAGGGAGGAAACAAAGTCTTTCTCAGACTCTGTCCAAAGTCACAGCGAATATTTGTAGTTGTTCAGCAGAAAATTTGTCATTAGGAGGCCTGAGCGCTGCTGGCTTCCCCCACCCACTGTTATAATCCATTTCGGTGGCTGGTCCCAGGCTGTTTCCTGGCCTCCCCCAGGGGGACCCCACACACTGCCAGCTCCACCTGGCCCTTCCTGAACCCTGGCTGATGAGCACCTCTGGTGGGGCAGGGACATGGCTTCTGCTAACCAGAAAGGAGTGATGACAGAGGAAGCACTATTGAAACCCAGCCTGGCCTCGCAGGACTGGCTGACCCCCTCCAGCTTCCCTTGTCCCTGCCCTCCCCTGTTGCCAACAGCCATAGTCCACAGAAGACCAGGCTCCCGGCTAGATCCTGAGGCATTTACTGCTTCACCTGCCTGGGCTGCAACCCCTGCCCCCACCCCGTTCCACATCACCACACCCATTGACCTTTACCTTATGCCCCTCAGAGCTGATGCTGGCTTCAGCTTCCTACCTTCCCTTGGACTGAGCTGTTTCTATCTGCAAACACCTACACCTGACCCCTCAACATGGCAACGGTGGGGGGGGGGGTCCTCCCTGGTGGCACAGTGGTTGAGCGCTGGGTTGCGAAGCTGTCCGCAGCCTCTGCAGCGCGGGTTCGATCCCCAGCTGCTCCCCGGCCACCAGAGGAGGGTCCCACATGGTGCGCAGACCTCTCCTGCCGCCCGCTGCTCCCCTCAGCAGTGTACTTCGGTCCTTCTGCCTGCTCTGCTCCCCGCTCTGGCTCTGGTGAATTCTCTCATCCTCCCGCGCTTCTGACTGTACCCAGTGCTTGTACAAATAAATAAATGAATAAATAAATCTTTAAAACAAACAAAAAAACAAAAACATGGCAACTGGGGCCTGCTCCAGGTATGGAGGTATGGTCCTGGGAGCCTGCTGGGCCCAAGAATGGAGCGGGCCCTGCTAGCTGCCTGGGGATGGCTCCCTTGCCTCCTCTTCTGTTTTCTAAGCCCTGCTGCCGGCCTGTGTGGCACCACCTTCCACCCCAGCTGGACTCAGGGTCCTGTGTCTTCCCCCTCCTCCCTGGTCTCCTGGAGGCTCTGGTTAGAAGGCAAATGGAAGTCAATGAGGATTAGAACGAGGGACTAGGACAGGTTAGTGACAAGGCCTGCTAAGTTGCTGCTCCAAGGGCCTCAGGCCTGGGGACCCCATCCTTCTATCTGCCAGCCTCCCACACCTCCAAGAACCCCTGTAGACTTATCCCTGCTCTTAAGGGGCTCACAGTCTGCACCCTGTGCAGGGAGGGCACCTGAAGTATCCAAGGGGGGTTGAGAGTGTGGGAGCTGGCTACACGCACATGGTTAGAATGGGTGGGTGGGATGCTGGCAGAAGGAAGAACTCATTCCTGTCTCCCCCGCTCCCATCTTCCACAACCCCTGGGGGGAGGGCAACGACATCAGGGCTGGGAAGCACTTGGAGACTCGGAGAGCTCAAGGCCTGCATTGAGCCAAGTGGAAACTGATCCTTGGTGCTCTGGTCGCTCGGTGCTTCCAGGTCACTCTGGAAGCTGACCTCCAGGTTCTGGGCTTTGATGCATCGTCTTGAGCAGGGTTTGGCAGCCATCGGATGGTGCTCTGCCTCCAGAGTCCTTAGGGTGCTTGTCATAGGGCAGATCTTGGGGTTCCCAGTCCGAAGGTACTCACATGGATCTGTGCACACCGGAGTGTGTGTGCGGCCTCTGTATAGAGGACGGGACATGTGTGCACTTGCACGCTCCATGCATTGCTTGGGAGCTGACTTCTGGAGCTTTACAGAGTGAGGCTCTGAGTGCCCAAGTGCGCGTTGCTGCTTACCTGTTGCGCGATCTTGGGCAAGTCTTCTGGCTGCTCTGAGCTTTGGTTTCTCCAGAAGTGTGTAAAAGGGGCATAACCATAATGCCATCCGGCTCGCTGTGAAGATTGAAAGTGTGGCTAAAGTAAGCCCTTCGCGAGATGCCACATCCAGGCCTTTTCCTTTCCTCCCCCTGGCCTGGGATTTGGGGATGACAGGCTTGCTGGGTGCGTCTTCTCTAAGCAAGGGTAAGCTTGAGGTCTGGTGCTGTCTGGCTCCTCTTCTTGGAGAGGTCAGGCCCCTCTAGGGAGCTCCCGAACTTTCCCCACTCACTGAACACCCCTCCCCTGGAAAGCTCGCTGCTCTCCGCTGCTGGCCCTGCCAAGAGCGCTGACCCCCGGAGCAGCCTAGATGGCCTCATGCAATCCTGGCGCCTTCCCGGGCAGGGGACGCAGCAGGCGCTCTGAGGGGCGAAAGCTCTGCCTGAGGTTCAGGGGCAGCTGGAAGCCTGCACCACTGGGAGAAATGACACCAAACATACAGCCGGTCCAGCCCTGCTCAAGCAAACAGAAGGATGCCACAGAGAGGGTGGGCCCTTCGTGGGCTAGGGCCTGGGCATGGGCTGGGGTTATGGCTCTGCCATTCTCGCTCATCCAGTCAACTGACATTTATTGTGAATCTCTGTGGCAGGCTCTGTTCTTGGCACTGGCGTGGTGGGAAAGGGTTGTGTGTGTGTGTGTGTGTGTGTGTGTGTGTGTGTGTGGGGTGTGTGTGTGTGAAGAAAACAAACCAGAATCTCTGCCCTTGTGGAATGGATATGGTGGTGGGGAAGGGGTGGGTAGAAAATAAAATACAGTTAATGGGGCCTCCTTGGTGGCCTAGGGGTTAAGTTTCAGAGCTATCACCACCATGGCCTGAGTTCAATCCCGGGCCGGGGAGCCACTGCAGAGGGCACAGCAGACCTCTCCTGTTTCACCCACCGTTCTCCTCTGTGGTGCATTTCAGCGGATCTTCCTGTTCTGCTCCCCACTCTGTCTCTGGTGAATCCTCTCACCTGCCCACACCTCTGGCCTGGACCCCCGCTCTTGTATGTATACAGTTACTGGTCTCTCACCCAGTAACAAATGCAATGGGAACGGGTCCCAGGGAGCAGGTGTGGAGGTGACACTTTAAACAGAGTGGGCAGGTCCGGACTCGCTGAGACGCCATTTACAACAATGTTTATTGAAGCAACATCGGCTTTTAACATTCTACAGGACAGGTCATTTGAACAAAGATCCGAAGGGTGTAGAAGCGAGCCGTGTGGATACAGGGGACAGCGCTCCTGCACCAAGTGCAAAGGCCTGTGGTGGCTGGTGTCCTACTAGCTGCCCGTAACAGATCAGCACGGTCCCTCGGCGCCAGCTCCCGGAACAGCGCAGCGCAGGTGCTCCTGGGGGCCCGCGCCTCTGAGTGGTGATTCAAGGATCGGTCTCCTTCCACGTGTGGCTTGGCCTTCCCCATGCCCTACTGGTCATTTTTCACGGATGGCGGATGGAGCACAGGGCAGCTGGGGGTAACCTGCACCTTGGGCAACATACCACCTGCTCCCATTCTGTTGACCAGCGCTGTGCCGTGGCCCCTGTCAAGCGCAAGGGGGACTGGGCAGCTGCTTCTTAGAATAGCCCTACTCTAGGGAGGGAGAACCTTTGGGGTCTGGTAGGCCCTGAGGCGGGGTGAGTGCCTAGATGTTCAAGGGTCAGCGAGGAGGCGAGGTGTGGCAATAGAGGAGCTGGGGGTGATGGGAGTTGAGGTCAGAGATAATGGGGACAGACTACAGGTCTCAGGCCGTGTCCTCGGTGAACTGGGAGAGTCTCTGAGGGGGCAGCCCCCCACCTGCTTTGTGTTAACTGCTTCCTCTAAGAGCAGGGGCAGGGTGGGAGCAGGGGCCTTCAAGGAGGCTGGCAGTGGCCCAGGTGTGGTGCCTCACACCAGGGGAGAAGGGATGGAACAATACATTTTGAAGGCAAAGACGACAGGACTTCCAGGTGGGGGAGGTAAGCGGCGTGAAAGAGAAAGTCAAAATTGGGTCCCAGCATTTGAGTTTGGGCACTGGTGGTGGTGGGCGGAGGAGGCACCATCATGGAGAGGGAAACGTGATAGAGAAGGTTCTGAACTATGTGTGGCCTTGGGAGTCTACTCTTCGATATGTCCAGATGCCACTCAGATCTCCACATGGAGGCCCGAGTCTCTTGAGCCTGCGTTCCCGGCCTGTCAGATGGGGGTAACCACACTTACGTGGTGGGTGTTTGAGAGGATTACCTGAGAGGGTGGCTATGCATGGCCAGAGGTGAGAGAGGTTCTCTGAGTATGGGGTCAAGGGCTGCACCCCCTACCCTTGGGGTGGAGGCCTGGGGGAGGTGGTAGTAGGGTCTCAAAACCACTGGGTTCTCTTCCCAGCTCTCTGTCTCCTGCCCTCCTTCCCCACCACCCAGGTTGGATCACTGAGTGGGGTCCTGAGCGCCCAGCGCTGATGCTGGCCCGGCCACTTCTGCCATGGGGCTTGGTTCAGGGTGCTTGATTACAGGTGCCTGGGGATGGGCAGCTCCAGGCACAGGGGTGGCACTGAAACGGAGCCCCAGCCCCCAACCCTGAGTGGGTAGCAGACTCCCTGCATAGGGCACCCCTCATGGGGGAGGCAGTTACAAAGCACTGACACTTTTATTCCCATCAGTGACGCTGATGGGGCCTGACCTTTTACAAAGGTGTATGTTAGGAGAAAGGAAGAACGGGGGCAAAGGAGGCATGGTTCTTATGTCCCACACGCCACACACCCCGACCCCACCAGTCAGTGCGTCCAGACCGGAGGGAAGTGCTTGCCCTGGCAGGGCTGGTCACCTCGGAGGGCGCCCCAGGCCAGGCCATCTTCAGACAGAGTCTAAGGTGAGAGCAGGGGGGCCGAGGCACAGCAAAGCTCTTCTGGTGTAGACAGTAAATGGAGAGGGGGTGCCGCAGGCAGGTCGTCCCCTTGGTGACCAGTCTGGGCTTTTAGCGCCCCATGGCAGGCTCACGGGGGCGCCTGCTGGCTCCGCCTCTCCTCCAGCGCCCTGCACACCCACATGGACACCACAGCGCCGTTTCCGTCGTTGAACTGCACGATGAACGGGTGGCCCTGCGGAGAAGAGGAGCAGGCGGTGACAGGCATCCCCGGGCCCGGCGCTTCACCACACTGGCCCGGGCCCAGTCTCAGTCTGGACCTTATTTCTTTGCCCCCACAGCCTGCGAGCGGTGGGGGCAGCCATCACCCCACTGCACAGTACAGTGACCAAGGCCTAGTGAGTAGTGGCAGCCCGGCTAGGGCTCTGGCTGCCCTCATCCCTTCCCCCTTCCCTGACGGCCCCATCAGCACGAATGCTCTGGGCGGGGGAGGACCTGACCTCACTCCGTGCTGCCTGGGCCTTTCCCATTCCAAGAGCTGGTCGGCAAGCCCTGGCACCTGCATTGCCAGCCTTTCAGGCCAGTTCTGCCCAGATACCAGAGGATCGTATGTCAATCTTTCTAGTTTCTTCTTTGTCTAACGTTTCCTACGAACAAGTCACCATCCCTGTGTCAGGGCCAGGAAGGAGATTGTGCTGGTGTGTGCTGATCCACTCTGGGCCTGGGCTGGACTTTGGAGGGGTCAATACCATCTCCACGTGGCCTGTTTGGGCTCTAACCTAATTAGCCCACAGGCAGGCCATGTATATTTAGCCAGTCCCCTCCCCCATCCTGAAGAAGCAAGATTCACACTCATACCTCTTAAGAGTTCCCAGGAAGGTTCAGCAAGAAACAGGCAGCCAGGGGCCTCCCTGGTGGTGTAACGGGTTAAGACACCGCACTGTGAAGCTGTCTGCAGCCACTGCAGCATGAGTTCGATCCCTGGCCAGGGAGCTACCCACATGGCACAGCAGACCTTCTTGTCTCACCTGCTGCTCCCCTCAGCAGTGTGTTTCAGTCTGCCCGTTCTCTTCCCACTCTGTCTCTGGTGAGTCCTTTCACCCCCCAAACTCTGGCCTGTACCCCAGTTCTTGTATACATAAATAAAAAAAAAAAAAGAAATGGGCAGCCAGAGGGTCATCCTGGTGACCCACCTAAAGTGAAAGGAAAACTGCAAAGGGTCTCTTCCTTCCTCTTCCTCAGTGGTCCCAGCTAAGGAACGTATACCTGGAAGCTCCTTTCCCTCCTGAAGACTCTGTAGCCCCGGATTCAGGGAGCCAGTGTGGGAGCAGAAGGGGGACTCCCTGTTACCTTCTTTCTACTCCCAGTTCCTCTGCTCCCTCCCGTCCAGAGCCTGCCAGCCCCAGCTCCCCTGCCTCCCCAGTGTTCGGAGCCCTGTCCTGCCTCCCTCCTGGCGGGGCTTTCAGGGCCACTTTCCCAGCACATCTCAGCTCCAGGTCTGACTCTACCTGAAACTCTGAGGGGCCTCACAAGGAGCTCATCACCTAGCCAGGAGAGCTGTGAGACAGGAGACTCAGATGCCCTGGCAGCCCCGAGCCCAGTGTCTGTGGGCGCGGCTGTGGCCCAGGCCGCAGGAGGGAATGCACCTGCTCCACCAGGCATCTCAGGACAGGAAGGAAGTGCACCCAGGCCCCCCCACCCAGGGCTGACCCTGTGTCCCTTTAGCCGGCTCTTATTTCGGGCAAGGAAAACCATGCTGGGGAGCAGCCTACACGGTCTAGCTCAGAGGCACACACATCACCGTCAGTGGCGCAGGGAGGAAGGGTGCCAAAGCACCCAGTCCAGGGTCCACAGCTGGGCGCCTCCCGTGGCACCTCCCAACACACCTGCAGCATCTCCAAGGGAACAGATGCCGAGCAGATTGCCGCGGGGGGAGGGGAGTGGAGACTAGGTTAGGTGGGTTTCTAGGAAGGCAGCAGGGGCCTGGGTGATGGCTGGGGGCCCAGGAGGACTCTATCTTGGCTCCCACGTGTTCTCCCTCCCAGATTTGCCCTCCCTCGGTCTGCCTTCCCGAATGGCTGCCTAGAGAGAAGCAATTCTTCCCGAAGTCTGAATGTGCACCGTTCCTTTTCGGGAGGCTCTGGAGAGGCGACCTTGTGCCCTTCTGAAGAACAAAGGGAGAAGCTGTGCTCAGGAGCGAGGGGCCCCCTCCTCCTCAGCCCGGGGTAGCACAGTGTCACTTTCCCAGAATGCCCGGTGACTTTGGGGCCCATATGCTCCATCTCTGTTATCATCTGTTCGGGAACAAGCAGAGCGGAACTGCAGGAGGGAGAGGAGGCATTCCTCCACATCACAGGAAGGCTGATGGCTGCGCTGCAGGGGACATTTGCCCAAGTGCCCTGGAACCCGGAGGAGGAGAGGGTGGGCATCCACCGCTCAGGGGGAGACTCCACCCCTTTCCGGTCTCCTTGTCTGGGAGATGACTCCTGTCTCCTGTGTATCCCGATGTCTTACACCACCCTGCAAGGGAGTGACCTGGACCGGCAGTTTCATCCCCAGTTACTGTTGGGAGGGATGAAAGGGGGACTGGAGGGGAAGACAGAGAAGAGAGACAGACAGATGGAGATGGAGGGGACAGCCAGGGCTGTCTATGCATCTGGGCTAAGCCATGTGGACTTGAGCTGTGGGCAGCTTGGGCCACCTCGGGACTGGATGTGCCAAGTGCCTGTGTGCAGGAGTGAGAGCAGGGGGAGTGGCGGGAAGGCCCCAGGATACTGCCCCGGGCTGCACACCTGCCTGCAGGGTCCGGGGCTGGGAGAGTGAGATCATCTCCACAGGTGAGGAAACGGAGGTCATGGGCTCACAGTTGCCCTGCCTGGGCCCCAGAGCTGGGTCTGGACCACAAGTCTATGGAACCCAAACCCAGTGTCAGGGGGCTCACCCCAGGTTGACCTGGGGTGGAATGAGATAGAGAATCAACATCCGTTGCAATTCCCCCCTTGCCTTATTTCTGCCACACCATTCAGGCCTGCCTGGCCAGAGGAGGGCCCAAGACTGCAGCTGTGAGTCTGAATACCCAGGTGCTCTGTCATGGCGGCAGGTCATTCTCTCCTCCCATCAGTCCCATGTGGGAAGCAAACAATCACCCCATTTTATGGAAGAGGAAATTGAGGCTTGGAGAGCTGGGGCTGACTGGTTTCTGCTCTGGTGCATTCTCTGGCCTGTGCCCTGTGGCAGGGTGCATTCTCCCCTTCTCCCTAGACTACAATGGGCACGCGTTCAGCCTCGTGACATGCACAATGCAGGGACCTCTCCTAAGTTCACTGAGCAAGCAAAATCTGATGGACAATTCTGGGGAAAGCATGAGAATCACTTGGCCACCCTCAGATGCCCATATTCTCAGGCGGTTCTAGACAGGCCTGAGTAGATTCAGGCACAGCTGGATGGTCCAGACATCCTGGCAAGGCCTGATGCCAGGAGACGGATGCAAACTGTACACTGGACACCACTGAGTTGAGCAGCACGGATTGGGTGCCATGTGCCAGGCACCTGCCATGGTTTGGCCCTGATTTCTCCACTGAATCCCCATGCTCACTCCAAGGTGCATGTGGTTATGTGCACCCACCTTCCAGATGAGGAAACAGGACACTGGTGGATGTCATCCAGGTCAGCAGCTAGATTGGAGTCACAACATGGGTCAGGGCCAGGAGCTCTTCTGTACCTGCACCCAGAGAACTGACCTTAAAGCCCCTCTTGGGGGCTCCAGGTGGCCTATGGAGGCCTGCAGGTCCCTGCAGCCAGACCCTCCTCTGTACTTGGGTGAAGGTACATCTTTCCAGGCAGAGGACTGCAGGAGCAGAGAAGCTCTTGCACAGCCCTAGCATGCTACAAGGAGCTGTGGAAGTGTGGCGGGGCCCATCTTCCTGGAGCCAGGACCCCACTAGGCTGCTGGTCAAGCATCCCCCATGCAAGATGACATCCCAGACACCGGGTCTCTCTTCTCCTTGTGGAATGTGCAAGCAGCCACTGCAGGGTGTGTGCCAGGCTGGAGCAGCTGAGTGATCTTGCCGGCCTCGTCCCAGGCAGTGGGAGCCACTCTCATTTCCTGGATTCTCTCAGGGCCAATTGCAACAATTAAATGGGGGAGGGTTGAGGTATTATGGTCCACAAACTTCGCCACAGAAGATGGAGACATAATGAAGGGAAAAGGATGGGATTGCAAGAGGTAGGATGGACCCAAAAGTGGGACGCGGGGGAGAGTGAGAGACAGTCAACAACAGGCGAACGCCTGGCATCAGCTGGTGCAGACCCCCTCCCCCTCCTCCCTACCATGAAGGGCACTGGTGAAGCTTAGTAACTCAGGGAGGAACTGTGGCCGTTCAAACCCTCTCTCCTTCATCTGGACATTCGTGTCAGTATCTCCCTTGAGTCTGACTACTTCTGTAATAACATCCCTAATTTCCCCGCCTGCTTCATCATGATGAGATGCCTTTCTGACAAGTGGCCGCAGGACACCCTGAGCACTTCCCACTGAACAGTGCTCTTCACTCCTGCTGGAGGAGACAGAGTTCTGGCAGGAAACCCCAGCTCTGAGGCACCCAGGTGGGGAGGTGCTGCCTGAGGCTTGGGCATCTGGACTCGTAGTCCAGTGCTCACTCACTGACACCTCATTCTCTGCCCTCAGATGGACTTCGCGTTTCTTTCCAAATACGAATTTATCTATTTGGGGTCTCCACACTTTTTTTTCTTGTCTAATTTTCTCAAGAACAGCATCCATGTGAATCATTAATACCTGGCTGGTGTGGCTGCCATGCCTGGTAGGTAGAAGGCAGGTTCTTGGTCAGGAGTAGGCCCATGGCCTGACAGAGTGATCTGTATATTCACTATACCTGCATCCACTCACCAAGCACCTGCTGTGTGCCAGCTGGCCGCCTTACAGCTGCACATGGCCTTGAGCCCTCCCTGGGTTCCCAACTATAGACAAAAGCAAGGCACCAAGACATGATACTCTTAAGGGAGGTCACAGAGCTAGAAAGTGGCAGACAGTGTCTGAATCCAGGACTCCCTTCTGCCACGACGATGTCACCCTACTGTGCTTCCTGAGGCCAGGCAGAGTGGGTTTTAAATTTCTGTTTTCACAAGAGTATCTTGTATATTATAGGTGCTCAACAAGTAATTTTTAACTGAACTGAAATTAGGGTGGCAAAAGGCATACCTTGTCCTCCCTGCTCAAAA